AGTGATGCTTTGCAGACTACCTGAAGTCTCGCAGTACCTTGTTATTCTTGGGGTGAATGTACTTATGAATAACTGAATATGGATCTGTATCTATCTTCAACAAATGTCTCTTTTCATTCCGAACTTTAAGGATTTGAGGACTCAAATTGGTGTGCGGAAAGCGCAAAATGGTAAATTGGAGCGTTGAGTCGGCTGTGGTCCAACGAGTTGGGCTCTCAGTGGGATCATAATGGGAAGGGTAAACCCGGAAAAGCCCGGAAAGGGCCCTATATTCACCCGGCCCGGGTCCAGATGAGGAGGCCATCAACCTCGGCTCTCGAAATGGAAAAAAGAATTTGAAATCATCCAACCAAACAAAAATCGATCAGTTCGACTCCATTTGATTTGGTTCAATTCTGTTTAAATTTTAATGGTTCTGGTTCCTCAAATAAGATCATCTGGTTTTGGTACGATTCCGATTTTAGTACTCAAGCACAAGAATTAAAAATTGATACTGATCTGACAGCTTTTTTAAAATAATTATTTTCTTTTGTTACTTTTGTGAATGATTTTTGTCTTGACAGATTATTTTTACTGGCTGTTGGCACTGAATGAGTTAAATTAATGTAAAATTAACATATACTATGTTGTTCTTTCAGTCCTAACCTAGCTGGTTTTTTGTACTATAATTTTCATTAATAATTTGAAAAGTTCTTCTATAGAACTGAACGAAACTAGAACCATTCGGTTCAGTTCTATGGTTACTAACGAAACCAATAATTTCATTATAAGATAGCCATTTTGTTGTCAGCTCGATTCTTTTTAAATTTATAAATCGAATCAAACCTCACCATGTGCATCCCTAATAAGCTTATGAAGTATTTTTAAAGGGACAAATTCACAAATACATTTAAAAAAATTACTTATAATTAGCCCTTGTTTGATTGCCGTTATTTTTAAAAAATAGAGTTTTGAATAGTAATTTTTAGATAATGTGTAGTTAAAAGTATTTCGGGTTTACATGCAAAACATTTTCTTTTATAAACGTGTGGTTGAAAAATAAATATGAAAATTAAAGAGTTTTGTTTTAAAATGAATCAAACAATGTCTTACTTTTAAACATTTAATTATTGTCAAAACACTTTTTTTTTTCAATTATTTTAATTTTTTCATAATAAAATTTGTAAGTGTTACCTTTCATAAAATTATATTACACACATTTCACCATTTGTTATATGGTATATTATACTCATTTGTTGCCCTCCAGGGCACATCTTCAAGTGGTAAAAGGGGAAGGTGCCAAAATTCTAATTTTGCTTGAGGCTGTCGCATCAAGGGTTCGAATCCTGAAATATGGATTTGGCTATTGAATAAGTGTAAATGTACAAGTAGTCTTCCACCCTATATCCTTGGAGGTATAACCTGCGATTTATCTCCTTCACCAAGGCTCAGGACAGAGTAGGGCAAGTGGGGGCCGCCAAGGATGCAGTTCATCCTTTATTATATTCATTTGTTGCCTATTCCCACAGTCACTACCAGCACTTGAAACATTGAGTGTTATGTTGGAATTAATTGAATTTAATTTGGTTAAATCATTAAATGTGATATTTAATGATGTGTGTAACGCCCCAAAAATTTCATACATCTTGAAGTGTTTTAAAAAATTAATTTCATTTACTTTTATTTACTTAAAATACGGAATGATAAAATTCTTTAATAAACAAAATATTGGAATATCCATGAGTTTAAATTTGAATCGTAAAATCGTGTCTATAAAAAAATAATTTAAACATTCTCAACTAATAAATTCACTTTTAATGTTATTGAACAAAACAAATTACTAAATTTAAAGGCAATAAAACTTAATTTTTTCGTATGTCGAAATC